TACCGCTGTAAACAAAGCAGAGCTGCGCTTTATACGGAGAAGAAAATGCCATTGCCATCGAAACTTTTCTCAAGACAGTTCCCTTAAGTGATACATTAATATAACCCCAGAAATGTAATGCATTTTTGTACTTATTTTACTGTTATTTTCGGGATCTACTGGGACAGTGATAAAGATCTACCAGTCGATCGCGATGGACGGGTTGGCGACCACTGCTCTAAAGAGTATAAAGTCAAAAACCATCTTCCTTGTTCATTTCCTATAGTTTGAGACAATATTTATTGCATAGTTAACAACTACAGTCATGGCCAAGTTTTGGCAGTGACATAAATTGTGTTTTGCAAAGTTTGCTGCTTCAGTATTTGTAGATTATTTTTCCAGATGTTTCTATGGTACACTGAAAAACAATGATAAGCATATGTCAATATTTACAGTGTTGACCCTTGTTCTTCGTAACCTCTGCAATTCGCTCTGGCATGCTGGATATTAGCTTCTGGGCCAAATCCTGACTGATGGTGATCCATTCTTGCCTTAATAGTTCTCCGAGTTGTTCACAATTCGAGGGCTTCTGCTTGTCCACTCGCCTTTTGAGGACTGACCACAGGTTCTCTATGGGATTGAGATCCGGGGAGTTGTCTGGCCATGGATCCAAAATTTCAATGTAATGATCTTCGAGCCACTTCTTTATCACTCTTGCTTTGTGACATGGTGCGCCATCATGCTGGAAAATGCACGGATCATCACCAAATTGCTCATGGATCATTGGAAGTTGCTCTTGCAGGACGTTTTGATACCATTCTTTATTCATGCCAGTGTTTTTGGGCAGAATTATGAGAGCGCCCACTCCCTTGGTTAAAAAATCCCACACATGGATGGTCTTAGGATGCTTCACTGTTGGCACAACACAGGACTCATGGTAGCGTTCACCTTTTCTTCTCCAAACTATCGATTTTCAAGATGTCCCAAACAGTCGGAAGGGAGCTTCATCAGAGAAAATAATTTTGCAGCAGTCTTCTGCTGTCCAATCCTTGTACTTCCTGCAGAATTTCAGTCTGCCTTTGATGGTTTTTTTGGAGAGAAGTGGCTTCTTTGCTGCCCTTCTTGACGCCAGGCCATTGTCCAGAAGTCTTCGTCTCACTGTGCGTGCAGATGCGCTCACACCAACCTGCTGCCATTCCTGAGCAAGCTCTGCACTGCTGGTGACACGATTCCGTAGCTAACTCCTCAGGAGGAGACAGTCCTGGCGCTTGCTGGACACACTGGGACGTCCTGAAGACTTCTTTACTGCAGTTAAACCTCTCTCCTTGAAGTTCTTGATGATCTGGTAAATGGTTCTTTCAGGTGCAATATTCTTTGTAGTAATTTCCTTGCATGTGAGGCCATTTTGATGCAAAGCGATGATGGCTGCACGTGTTTATTTGGAGGTAACCATTGCTAACAAGAACACAATGATTGGAAGCGCTTCTTCCCTCCTTTTATAGCAATCAGTCTGCTCTTACAATCTATTTAGTATGATAGTGATTTAACTGACTAGTACTCATTCACACTTTCACATGTGCTGCTGATATGATTAGTCAATTAATGTTAGCTGGTCATTTTGTGTCAGGATCAAAAAACAGTGAAATGTATTTTTTTTGTGAAAAGTTCATTTTTTGGTCAAATTTTTTTTTTTACATATATATGTATGTGTGTGTGTGTGTGTGTGTGTGTGTGTGTGTGTGTGTGTGTGTGTGTTAGTGTGTAAAATATCATGGCAATTATTTATTTATTCTATTTTACTATCATTTAATAACTTAATATTACTATGATATATAATATAATTAATAAATATTTTTTAGTAATAACAGTGATTTTTGCATTATTATGAAGTCCTAAAAAAGACTTTAAATATATATATATATATTTTTTTATATATATATAACCCATGTTTTTGACAAGATTTGTGAGCTTCATAACATAAGCAGCCTATGCTACTGAGACAAACGTGATTTTAATGCCAGATGCTCCTTGAGGGACGATTCTGTTTCTTGGTGCTCACTCGATCACCCATAAAACACTGTGTGGTTGCTACAGCGACATAGCACTTAGCCTCAGCACCCAAGGGGGAGGGGTGGTCAGCTGTCAGTCATCTACAGCTGTCAATCACTCAGACTGCAGCCAACTAGGTGGAAGGATTGCGTGCACCCTGATGGGACAGAAACATTTAGGAGTGTTATTCTGTGCAAAATGTCATTAAAGGGGTCATATGATGCTGCTAAAAAGAACATTATTTTGTGTATTTGGTGTAATGAAATGTGTTTATGCGGTTTAAAGTAAAAAAAAAACACATTATTTTCCACATACTGTACATTATTGTTTCTCCTCTATGCCCCGCCTTTAATAACTTAATATTACTATGATATATAATATAATTAATAAATATTTTTTAGTAATAACAGTGATTTTTGCATTATTATGAAGTCCTAAAAAAGACTTTAAATATATATATATATATTTTTTTATATATATATAACCCATGTTTTTGACAAGATTTGTGAGCTTCATAACATAAGCAGCCTATGCTACTGAGACAAACGTGATTTTAATGCCAGATGCTCCTTGAGGGACGATTCTGTTTCTTGGTGCTCACTCGATCACCCATAAAACACTGTGTGGTTGCTACAGCGACATAGCACTTAGCCTCAGCACCCAAGGGGGAGGGGTGGTCAGCTGTCAGTCATCTACAGCTGTCAATCACTCAGACTGCAGCCAACTAGGTGGAAGGATTGCGTGCACCCTGATGGGACAGAAACATTTAGGAGTGTTATTCTGTGCAAAATGTCATTAAAGGGGTCATATGATGCTGCTAAAAAGAACATTATTTTGTGTATTTGGTGTAATGAAATGTGTTTATGCGGTTTAAAGTAAAAAAAACACATTATTTTCCACATACTGTACATTATTGTTTCTCCTCTATGCCCCGCCTTTTTGAAACGCGTCGATTTTTACAAAACTCATCGATCTGAAAAAGCGAGGTGTGCTGTGATTGGCCAGCTATCCAGTGTGTTGTGATTGGCCGAATACCTCAAGCGTGTGACAGAAATGTTACGCCCCTCACATACTGTTGATGCCGTGTCCGGCCGGAGCGACGAGACATAAACATTAAAACCCATTACAAACGAGGCATTTGTTGCATCCAGTGGGGACATAATTACTGATTATAATGACTTATACTGTGTTTCTACACATTGCGTTGCGTATCGTGTCGCGTAAACATAAAACCATGTCTGCATTTGTGATCGGAGAAATGACAAACAACAAGCCCTACTCTACACTGCCCAAAAAACTCACTTTAAATATATAAAATATAAAAACTCTTTAAATATAAAAAGCGTACTTACAGTCTTTGAGTCAGAGCAGCCGGCATTGTAGTCTACTCTCCCAGGATCAGGAAACGGTCTTCCATAAAATGTGCTGCACACATCTGAATATTTGGGTTGAAGTGTTCTGGAACAGTGTTGTAAATACCACTGATTTGTAGTCGTGTCCTCTTTTGGAAGACCAAACAAAGTAGTTTCGCTTTCACAACGAAAAACACAGCGGCCTAGCGGAAGCCCCGGCTTAGAGTGAGCTGAGGCCAGGCTAGAGTGAGCTGAGGAGGCTGGGTTGAGAACGGCGCAGCCGGCGGATCCGACGAAGGAGCGGCAAGCACTTGTGACGACCCCGGGCTTCGTCCACGGTGAAAGCCGATCCGGGGATCCACAGACCTAAGTTGATGTATTCCCTCCGCG